CTTTTTCGGGGCTAAATTCCCTTGGCTCTCAATGATTTGAGCCTCGATCGAGCTCTTGGCCGGGATGGTTACCTTATAACCTTCTGGGAAGTCATTCACCCTGACATCATCGATTTATTCTTAGAATTTCACTCCAGAGGGGTAACAAATAAAGCCATGAATGCCACCTTCCTTGCTGTCATCCCAAAAATCGAAGGGGTCGAAGAATAAAAGGATTTTAGGCCCATAAGTTTGGTCAACAATGCTTACAAGCTTCTATCCAAGGTTCTGGCCTCTAGACTAAGGGTCGTTCTAGACTCAGTCATTTCTCCCTCCCAAGGAGCCTTTGTCGAAGTTAGGCAAATTTTAGATGGGGCGTTGATAACCCATGAATGCATCCATTTCAAACTCCCTCGGACTAATTATCAAACTAGATTGGGAGAAGGCTACGATCATGTGCATTAGGAAATACTCGATGAAACCCTCAAAAGAATGGCCTTTGGACCTAAGTGAATAAGTTGGATTAGAGGGTGCATCTGTAGCCCAGTTTTCTCGGTCCTCCTCAATGGGACCCTGAAATGTTCGCCAGGGCGACCCGTTGTCGACGTTTTGTTCGCCATGGTGGCGGAGGTCTTTAGCACCACTCTCTCGCGTCTCTACCAAGCAAGACTCTTGAAGGGTTTTTGTTCTAGTCGTCACGGCCCCTGCATCTCCCACCTTCACTACATAGACGACACCCTGGTCTTCTGTGATTCCTCGGTTCAACATGTTGACCCCTTATTGCTCTTTTTAAAGTGCTTTGAGATGGCCACTGGGTTTAAGGCAAACCTTTCCAAGTTCAAGATGATGGGGGTGTGCACTGACCCTTCTTTAACACATTTCTTAGCCAACAGGTGGAGCTACTCTATCGAAACTATGCCCTCTTCATACCTAGGCCTTCCCCTTTGCCCGGGGTTACCTCAACTCTCTCAATGGAGCCACATTATAGACAAATTTGATTGGAGATTCGGGGGGTGGAAAGGCAGGTTCCTATCCAAGGCAAGTAGGCTCACACTCATCAAAGCCACTTTAGCCAACACGTCAGTATTCCAGATGTCGTTTTTTCAAATCGCCACCTCTGTGGCAGCCAGATTGGAGCGTATGATGAGGGAATTCTTTTGGTTTGGGGAGAATGGGCGCAAATTCCATCTCATAGCTTGGCCTAAACTGTGTTTGCCCAAGTCTCAGAGGTCCTGGTTATTCACAATCTTTGAGTTCACAATAATGACCTTATGGGCAAGTGGTGGTGGAGTAATGCCACACAACCAAGCCACCTTTGGAGAGATGTCATCAACCACAAGTATTGTCATGATAGCAATCAATGGATTCCTATTTGAAGGAGTAGTGGTCAGACATCACGTTTTTGGACGTCAATCCTGAGGCGTCGCAAACTATTCCTTCGCAATATACACTCCTAGTGAGGGGACCTCAGTGTGGTTTTGGAATGACATATGGGTCGGCAATAGACCTCTGAGGGATAAATTCCCCAACCTCTTTCGTATAGCGCGTGAAGCTCAATCTACCGCAGCAGATGATTTTGTGCTGAGATCCTAGTCGCCAAGTTTTAGACAACCCCTCGATGACTTCGAGCTTGATGAGTTTGGGGCTTTGGTAGAAGTACTCCACCCAATTTTCCTACCAATATTTGGCAATGATAAGATTGTTTGGAAACCATCACCCTCACAAATTTTTTCGGTCTGTTCTTTCTCTCGGACCCTCACCCCCACCATTGTAGGCTCCAATCTCTCTTGGCTACCAAAAGCTTGGAATTCCTTTTTGCCCTCCAGGATTTAAGTATGCTGCTGGATGGCATTTCATGAGAGAGTATTGACGGCAGATCGTTTTCAAAGAAGAGAACTGCAATGCCCTAATAATAGATGTATCTTGTGCATGGAGGCTAAAGAATCCAATGCATACTTATTTCTCCATTGCAAATTCGCCAGACTTATGGTCTTATCTGTTCCAGTGGACATGCGTCACTCCAAGTTCCATCCAGCACTTGTACCCAGCTTTCCTCTGTACTCCCTAGCCCAAGGCCGGTAGAAAACTTTGGAAAGCCTCTGTTTCAACCACTCTGTGGGTTCTATGGATCGAAAAGAACCACATAATTTTAGAGCAGAGAGATCTTCGGTTGGGGCATTGGCCGACAAAGTCAAGAACTTAGTGGCTTTTTGGGCCACGAACCAGAGTTTGTTCAAAGGCATCCCCTTCCATGATATTTATAGGAATTGGCACATCTTACTGCATGGAGCAAAGCCAATTATCTCAAGGTCTTCTATGTGGAGACCACCCGATTCAAGCTCCATCAAACTCAACTTTGACGACTGCTCCCTTGGGAATCCCATTCGCTCCGGAGTACGTGGGCTCTTTCATTCATTCGATGGACAAACATTGCAAGCCTACTCCTGCCCATTGGCTATGTAAACTCAACTCTAGCAGAAGCCACGGCCCCGTTAAAAGGTCTCCGTAGATTTCTCATCACTTCGGGTCACACCTTGGGAAGTCTAAAAATGTCATTGCCTAGGCACCAAGGGGGGCCTTAGATCTTTGAAAATCTCCTACTTTTCTCCTTGTAGTTGCAATTTTGCTTTGGTATATCATTTTTTAACCCTTTGGGGATATAAATGGTGCCCTCTAAGAGGGTCCCCTTTTGTGTACATTTACCCAGTAATACAATTCTAGTCACCTTTTCTCAAAAAAAATTATGAAATCCATGTCACCGTCTCCTTGCAGCTAGTAGATGTCACCCACTTATACATAGAAGCAAATTATGAAGCTGACAGTCTAGCAAACACAAAACCACATCGACATGTACTCATTTTTGTATGGAATAAATGATGCATGTACACAATTTTGGGTCACAACAGGACAAAAAGTAGAAGGCTAAAAATTCAAAAAAACAGCTTAGGAGTGGGAGAGGGAGAAGAGGAGGGGGGGGAGGGTTTGCATTTATTCGTTCACATATTATAATCCACTTGTAAATAGCATTTGATGTTTCAGTATAAAGGCATGATTGATTGGTAAGCGTGGGTCTCATCCAACTTTTTAATTCCACATAATGGATAAGAAAAGTTTCACTATTTTCCACTATATAGGTGCAAAAGAGCAGGCTAGCTTGCCAGCAATTCACCCTTACGAGACAACTTCCAATAATTACCATGTCACGAGCAAAGGTAAGTCTCTTAGAGGACTGGCTGCTACACGAGAGGTGACATCATTCAAATTCTGATAATTCGATGCAAGTTAAGGAAAACAGTCAAAACATCACTCATTTATAAACAGATTGTTGCGCAAATTATCAAATAAAAAGAATAGTGTCTTCAAATAGCAGCTGAGGTCTGGTTTGTTAAATTTGAATCATTGTCCTGGTTTGACTGTCACCGGTGTTGTACCCCGTAAGAAACTCGTCAAAACAAATTCCAACATAATACAACTATCATATAAACCAGTTTACAGTTGATTAGAGAATTTGGGTCACTGGTGTTACACACAGTAAGGAAAGTGGTCAAAACAAATTCCAACCTAATCCAACTACCACATAAATCAGGTTACAATTGATCAGAGAATTTGGATCCCTTTAACCGGACAATCATAAGAATAAGGACCTGAATGTAAATTCAAAGAACAAGAGGAAAAATGCTATCAGATGGAACTTATAACTAATAACAATTCTTTCCGAGTAGCTAGTTTGTTGTAGCGGCAAGAATTGAACCCTTGACCTCATGCAAGCTGGGAGTCACAGTACTAAAAGAATGTTCAATATAGATTTTCAGATGCTATCAAAACAGAAAAATCAAACATTCAAAACGCGAAAAAGCTTAATTTTAGCAATACTCGACATTTCCAGTTATGCGACGGCCATTGAAAGTTGAGATTAAACTTTCCTACGGCACTTTAAAGGAACGAAGCCTTCATAATAACAAAATAGGGCTGTGGGAAGACCTACTTCAGTTATTTGGTTTGTCATGGGTGACACCAGAATCTGTCCCCCAGCTCTTCCTACAGATGTGTTTTCTACCATGGCCCAAATCTGGCACCATGCCTTGGAAGGCCTCAGTACCAGCAACTTTATGGCCCATTTGGAGAGTAGGCAAACACAGAATTTTCTGGGGACAGATATCTTATCGGCAAGCCCTAAAGGAGACCGTCAGGTCAATGGTAATCTTCTGGGCCACCAACCACGACTGCTTCAAGCTCCTCTCCCGGTCTGACTTCCATCTCAACTGGCTAGCGATCCTTCACCACACGGCCAGCCCAGTCCCCCGCTCATCCCTCTAGAGGCCACGGGAGCCCGGACAGACTAAACTGAATTTTGATGGGTGCTCTCTCGGTAACCTTGGCAATCATGAAGGAATTCCCCTCTTCTCTTTCGCCCTCCCCAGTGGCCGAGCAGACTCGACTATGGTGGAAGGTACTCTTGGAAGGCCTAACAAATTTCAACCCCACCTGGAGCACAGTTTTGGTTGTGGAGGGTTGACTTTAGAAATGTCATCTCTTGGGCCTCACATGAACCCCCCCTTGGAGACTCACAACAGTTTTTGACAAGATTTTTTACATTCGCAGGCATACACAGGTCTTATGGAAGCATACTTGGCCAGAGGCCAACCAAATGGCCGACACCCTGGTTAAGGAGGGTGCTTCCCTGGCATCTCTCTAGAGCGCTTGCTGCTATTTTTCACACGAGACTCATGTTTTGTTATATCATATGCTTGTATAGCATTTTTTTTATTCTTCCACATCTCGATGGTTTTTGTATAGCGCTCCTAAGCTGTGGGTAGCCTATTTTAGTAATATGCACACCTCTTTTACTTAATACAAAGTCAACAGATTCAAAAAAAAAAGAAGAAAAAACAATCAGCAGTTTGAAATGCCAAAATTTGGCCGTAGCAAAGGCAGTCTGAGAATTTCATTTCTTAGCAAGAAAATTTTCTCAGTGTGGACCAGTTTGATTATGAATGAAAAAAGCATTCAAGTTTTCGATAGATTTTGACAGGCACAACTCTTTTATTTATATGATACAAAACGAAAAACAACAGTTCTTATGATAGTCTCCTCGTACCTGTTACACTTGACTGATGGTTCAGCTGCACTAAGTGTTTCCGTTGGTCTTGCGACCAATCTGACATGTTTCATAAATCCTGTCGACAAAAGCAAGATCATGACACCTCAAGAGGCTACATGCATACAAACCATCACACCCTAGCCTCCACAGATGCATTCCCATATGCTTTAAGTCAATGCATCTAAAGGATGTGTAAATGAATTCACATTCCATCTTCTTCGAAGAAAGGATGGATGAGGACTGCCTTTTGAGAGGAGAAAGGTTCAGATGATGACCCCAATGCTCTCAAGAACACAAGCCGGAGCCTCCTAATTTCTTATAAGGCATCAACATCTGAATCTATTAAATAAGCCTACGAGGTCTGGGGATTTCTACAATGTCATAGTCATCTACAGATAATAAATTACATATAATTCAAATAGTTGGTACTGAAGAGGAGAAACTCCACCTTTGTGGGTCAGAGAGTAATTAAGATGATGGAAAAAGTTGCAGATGAAGAACAAACCCAGTTTGGCTTAAAAACCCAGTTTGGCTTTGGGGGACAGGACAAGGGGGTCTACTTTTGCAACAGGGTTGTTTTCAAATAGGAATAAAACAGAGGCCTTAAATAGAGTACTGGGATCACAGGGAACCACTTCAAATGGTGGGAAGAAAAAATGGTACCCCATAAAGTTGACTGCTGCACTCACAGAAAAGAATGAGGGGTGCACAGAAGACCTAGGGTATGCACTCCTGGATTGATTGAAGAAGAGATTCGTGGGAATCATTTTGTGAAATTTTCAGAAACCTTGTAGTCACAGTCAAAAACGGGCCATATCCTCATTATTGGAGCCCATAGATTTCCAGTTCTTGAAACTGCAGCTTACTATTGTGGCTTCATTTGTCATCCAAAAATGCCTTTCAAGGGAAGGTAGAAACTGGACCAATGCTTGAAGCCGTAGGCGAACCCTCTGTCTCGATGCTTTCATCACCTGAAGGTATTTGTCGTGGCTCCGACAATGGGATCCTCCTAGACTTTCCAACAGCAGCTTCCCCAGAAACTTCGGGAGAGAGAGATAAGGCAGGAGTCCCTGATGAAGATCCCAGCAGACGACGAACTGGTACGTCAGCTGAAGATGTTGAAAGATTGTATGCAAAGGGTCCCATAGGATGGTCAAATTTGCAAGTTGGGCCAAATTTGCAGATGCCATAACGAGAATAAAATATGCACAAAGGCTCTCCCTGTTCACAAATGACATGAAACTCCTCAGGCAATCCTATTCTATCTCAAAAAGTTTGTCAAAATAAATTCTATTTGAATTGTGTGTGCATGTGAATAAAGAAATCTGCAACTAAAAGAACAATCATATCATGGAAACAGGAGAAACCACGACTGGAGAAAGTGGCAGAACACATCAACAACTTAATTAAGTATGAAGTGCATAACTCGTATAAAAGTATACTAATCACAGACTATGAAAATCCATGGTCCACTGGTTCATGGCCATCAATTGAAATGACAGATAGTGATGGAGAGAGAACACCCCCCCCCCCCCAATTGAGTTCATATCTTCTCATGGTGTCTCTAATTATATATCCATCACCGACTACTTTAACAGTTGGTGATGACCCAGTGGGCGATGCATTCCCAAAGCCCATTGAATCATACAGTCCACTGGATTGTAGTATACTTTCCTGAGACTCATGCGTCCTTCCATGGGGCAGAGGGCGCACAGATCAAAAAAGTCATAATCACAGAACGGACTGTCTCTACAGCTTCCACAAAAGAAAAAACCAACTGTCTCTGATTTTCTAAACATCCTCAGAACTCCAGATAAACATACATATCATACATATTGTTTTATGGTATTTCTTTTTAGTGAGAAATGGTTTGAAGGCTTGAACAAATTGGCACACCACTCCATACTGTATTAAAAATTCTGACAGGACGATGCATATTTCTAGAGAGACAAAATCGAAACATGAAAGTTATGGCCATCTCACTTAGAAAATATGATGAACTAATTTTTCTTCTTCAAGAATATACAGAAAATATTTGCTATGGAGACTTCAAATGAAAGAAATACCTGAGAACCAGAAAATGAGATCAAACATCATTTTCAAAACAAAAGGGTCTCAAGAATCTATGTTCATGCAAATATCCTAAAAATAAAACTTCGAAAACTAAACTGCCATAAACTGCTCCAAAGGCTGCAGCCATCTTTCTTGAAAAGGAAAGAATCGTGCAGATATGCAAATAGCTCATCCAGATCTCTGTTTCGATTTAAACTGGCTTAAGCTTTCATATGCCTAGACAGGTCAACCATATAACAGATAGTTAAGAACCCCATCTAAACTTCAAACAATGACCTAAAACTCTTCCACTCAGTCCAAAGCATGGGAGATCCAGCCACCACAAAAGATTTTCACAATATGAAGCAGGTACTCCTTAAAACCAAAACTTAAGCCTTTAGGCGGAACATTTGGTAGCAATAAAATTCAAATGTCAGTCACGGTTGATACTCCAAGTGTCTGCCCAAGGTGTATCCAAACCAAGCCTCCCATGGAATGCTTCCCAGTGCCCATATATAAGGTGTCATATCATATGTTTGCCTTTTAACAGAAATAAAACAACGTGCAAGCAAAGGATTTTGGGGCATCAGCCAACCAATCCCAATATAAGTGCTCAATTCATGTTAACCGGCCCAAGTGTAAGTCTTACTGCTATCATGAAAACTGACTTCATCTATGGTGCTTGTAAGTTTCTATTGGTATCATGAACATTTTCATCACTGGTGTGTGCAAGTTTCTGATCTGTTTCTTTGATATTTTACTTCAACCAATCTGTTTCTTTCATATTTTACATCAACCTGTAACAATAAATCTATAAAACGTCTTTATTCTGCATCAGCCAATCAAGTTACTCTAGAAATATCTTTATCATTTTAGAAACTTTAAACAATTAGATAACAGTGACATTATGTCTATACTTAAATCAGATTCAAAATCTAATTTTGCATTAAAAAAACAAGTCTGCAGTTCACAATTTCCAATGAATCCTGAGCAGATCTCAAGGGAAGAATTACACATGAAACATTTCAAATGATACTTGGATAAATAAAATAAAGATCAAATTAATACTCACAGGACGTAGAGGAAGGCCCATGGGGCTCAACATGCAATTTGGAACAGGAAGCAGCCTCTCCCTTGGGTGATGGAACTTGCACATGGCACCAAACTTACAATCTCCAGTCTTCATATAGAATTGGCATTCAGGTTGATCAGGTCTTTCAGGGAAAACATTCTCCCTCTGCAATGGAAAAAGTCCCATGGGGACAGAACTGGATCGGAATGGGAATGCCCCAGGAGAGCTTGCACCTCCTGTTTCAGTTTGTCGTGGGGTTCCATAAGACTGACCAGTTCCTGGTGGTTGCTGAGTGTCTGATGATGAAGCTGAACCCAGCTGACCCTGACATGGATATATAATATAGTACGAAAAAAGGCATGGCAAATGATCAAAATTCCTGGCTAAATCCAGAAAATGCTTAATAGAAGCCAAACCACAAAAAAGAAAATTTCATTTCAAAGTACGAACATGCAAAGAGTTTCAATGCGAACCTATAACCATCTTACAGCTTGATGATGACTCTTTAGAAAATAGAGTATGATCTCATAACCAGGAAGTAACAATATAAACAATACTCATATAATCAAAATCTGAGAATAAACAGGTCAGCCATATGACAGACAAGTAAAGTTCTGACTTATGTGGTAGAGAATGATAATAATGTTTACTTGCAAAACAACTGAACATTTACATCTCATCCCAAACATGCAGGAAAGTGATCTCATGACGATAGCGCTAAGTATTGACGTTCCCCTGGCTGGGCCTGTCAAATTTGAATTTGACACCATGCCTGTGGAATTCCCATCTCTTCCGCAAGCCACAGAACTCCGAAATTTTTTGTCCTATCAGCTCTAAGGAAACTAGCAAAGATATTTTCGAATCAAGACATAACCATCCGCTCCAAGCAATCTTCCCTATGTCACCTCTTAACATCCATATATTTTAACTTCCCCACCCTATATTGGATGGTTCAAAAGAGATGTCCTAGAGCTCCCAATAATTTTAACAACCTTGAGCACATAATGACATTGTAACCAACAAAGCATCATTATCATCATTCAATCTTTATCCTAATTATTTGGGATCGGCTACATGAATCTTGTTCCTCCATTCTTCTCTATCAAGGGCCATAGTGCCAACCCTCAGTAAACCCAAAACTCACCATATATTAAGATAGAAAGCTTCCTTGAGGCGAAAAGAAAGTGTGGGGGAGCCCAACAAAACAAGTACCCAAGAAAAGTGGTGCACAAAGGGTGTAATGCTCAAAGGGTGTAACCATTCATAAAAGTGGCCCGCTAGCTGCTTGAGGCCGGTGAACACCACTAAAGATCCTTGTTAAGTCAATAATAGATATGGGAGAAAGGTAGTAGTCTTGGGGGGAATATATCAATCAATGTGCAAAACCACAACTCGAGGATGGAACTCGGCCCATGCCAGAGCCAAATAACTTGGGCCGAGTCCAATTTACTTGGCCCGAGTCGGGCCGGGTCTTGGCAAGCCAAAAAGTGCTAAAAAAAAAATACAAATAAAATCCCAAAAATAGGAAAAATATTTGAAGTAAAATTAAACAAAACACATCTAAATGAGGTAAAAAAACAGTAAAAAATGGATTTTGAAAAAATCAATTTGTGACGGGCACCATTTTAGAAATAATCCAAAATAAAGGGAAAAACATAAAAATAAGTATTCATGACAAACACTTTCCAATCTTTGCAAAATAATAGAAAACATTAAAAAAAACGTATGACAAATAAATTTCTTATTTTTTTGGATTTTCTATAATGTTTTTTTAATTTTTTAAGATCCTCGAGTCGGAATACCCATCTCGGGCATACTCAAACTCATCAGGGTGGCGAGTCCAAGTTGGCTTGCCCAAGTTTTAGCACACTGACACCAATTTTTTCTTCTTTTTTTTAATAATAGGGGGGATGCCTATCTTGGAGGAAGGACAACAAACTACTTTGTAGGGCACATTCACCCAATGAATGCGCAGCACATAAGTTAAAAAATTGGTGCTCCTTGAATACAGCCATCTGATGGGTGCGACAGCCCTGCAAAGAGGTGCACTCTTGCTCCAAATAGCTCCAAGAAAAATGTCCTTTGAAAGCTCACATTAGAAGAACAGGAGAGGCAATTTGTGCTTTTCCAGGATGGAAGTAGCAGTCAGGGTTATCAAGCTATGTGTGCAGAGGAGGCCTGTGGGAGGGTTCCCTTACCTATAGAATCAATAGAAGTCAAGGATAGACAGTCAAGCAGATTTATGTGAATCTGCTAATGCTTTGGGTACTTTGAATCCTAGTAGCCAGAATTTAGCATGAAGTATGGATATAGGAATTGTTATGCTAGGGAAAACAAAGGTTTTTGGTTTGTTTTGATTCACACGATATCAGCAGTATGGATAAACTCAGATATGTCACTGAAAACAGCATCCATAAAACAATGGCAATATACCAACATGATAGAAGTATAGTATAGGTGAAATGTACTGTCGTGTGTTTTTTTTATATAATTACGTCTTTCTGAAACTTTAGACAAGGAAAGTACAGTAAATTTATACGAATTAAAAAGAATAATGCTATTCCTATTGCAACAGCCACTTAAGACGGCAAATATGAACCTTTTGGCCCTTCCTGTCCAAAAAAAATTAAAGCTTAATAGCTCAAGAAAAACCTCTATATTATTATTGTGCCACTCTCTCTCTCCTTTAATTTTTTAATTCATTTCCTTTTATCTTTTTCAAATGTGATCTTTAGTTTATCACATATGTTTATGCATTATTACAGATTATGAATTAAGGAACAACTAGAAGTTAAAAGCTTTCCTGAGGACTTACCATCACTTAAAATGTTTCGTTCTCCTGTATTCCCTTCAATCAAGAAAGAATATGACTTCCCTCATTTTCCTCCAAATTTCTGTTCAATTCAAATTTTTCCAAGTCGAAATGGAAGGCAGTTAGGTACTGGAAATACCTTTCTACTATTATGACAAATGGTTCCTAGTACAACAAGAAAAGCATTTTTTTTTTTTTTTTTTAGTTTGGTAGTACCAGACAAAGTATGTTTGGAACACATTTTCAGGAAGTTTTCACAAGTGTTTCATCCCAGTTACGCATAGGCACTTTACAATGTGGAAATATAGGTTTTGGATAACTATGTTTTAGATCAGCCTAAATTCAGAAACAAATGCAGGCCTATGCAAAAATAAGCTAAAAAATATCCTGCTAACCAGAGCTCAGATTAGCACCAATTACTTTTAGACTCATTGATTGCTGAATAAAAGGCCTGAGGTCAAGTTGATTTGAGACCAACTATGCCACAAGGGTACGCGGTTCTTCGATGGAGTAAATCCCTCATGAGGAAAATTACTCGAATTTCTGTCTCATGCTGCTCAATCCCGATTCCCCTCATCCCAAACTGCTCTGATATCAAGTCCAAAAAGAAGTTCCGATGATAGTAGTAAGCATTTACAAATATATATACCTGAGTATATCCAACAACAATTACATGTCCATAAAACACCACCTTGCTAAAGGAGCTTGACAAAGTGATATGTTCAGGAATATCATATAATATCAAAATAATCTTAAGCATATATACCTGTCACTAAAACCTTCCTGGGGAACACAAACCGCTCTAGAACTTCAAGGAACATGGCAGTCAGCAATTCTCATATATTAAGAATTTAAGAACCAACTTAGAAGGAAATAAGAAATAACAGATATAAGACCATCCCATGCAGAGAAAAAATTTAAAAGGTGTAAGTGAAAAAAAGTAGTATCATAAAATTGAACTCTTCAGAAACAACTATTTACTAAATTAGGTGTCTGCCTGCAAAGGATATGACAAATAGAACAGAACTTCCAAAGACAATATGGACTCCATGAGCAAAGTGTGTGAGCAAACATTTGTATAAGAACTAAGTCAGAAACGAAAGACCTACAGAATATGTGTTCCAGCCAGGAACAGGAACCATGCCCTGAGGAAGAATCAGCTGTGCATAGCTTGAAGGACCCTGCCAACGTGGGCTCGGAATAAAAGAAGCCCTTGACATTGGCCAATTTGGAAATCCTCCATGAAAAGATGGCTGACCAGGAGTTGTTGGAGAATGTACAGGGGGATAAACAGGAGATCCACGCAATGAGACCATTGCATTAGGTTGTGGATGGTGAAATTTACAAGTGCTCCCAAATTTGCACTGTCCAGTTCTCAGATAATAGGCACATTCCTTCTCATTCTGCAGGAAGGAAATGTCATAAGCAATTAGCCAAAATAAAGTCTTCTCTTGATCCAAGAATGTCATGAGAATAAATGATAAAAGGTGCATAAAGAAGCAAAATAGAGAATCATTGTACAAATCACAGCCCAAGACTGATAAACAAGAATAAGTACCAAGAAAAACTAGATATTCAAGAAAACAATTGATAGGAAAAACGGCATGTACAAACCGGCCGGAGAGGATAGCCTAAAATATTCAGAAGTACTCTTCCTGCAATGCCAGCCTTATCTCTAGGATGATGAAACTTGCAAGTAGCTCCAAATTTGCATGTTCCTGTCTTCAAATAATACTGGAACAAACAGTAAAAGAAATATTGGATCTTTATAATAAGCATGAAAACGAGGATATCTCGAAGATTTTGTATCTCAACAGCAAGGAAAAAGCATGTAGACCACAGATGCTTCTTTGTCTTGATAATTTGTAAATACTAGGTTTCAGAATTATGAAATTGCCACAAGTAGCCATATTCAAAGGTAACAGACTAAGTGACAAGCACAAAAAATGAAGAAATACTTCCAAATGAGTGGAGCATCCAAAATCGATTGTAAGTCAAGTTTCAAATCATGCCACTACAAACTATCAGGTAATAAGCACGATCAGATGAATAAAGGAATTGTACAAGCCAAGATATCAGCGCTCTTAATAGCGACTATCAAACGTGTCCAGCTGCTAGCAGCAAATGTTTGTAGGTTTGTTCAATCTATGGTATTAAACCTGACTTAAAACCAAAAAAAAAACAACTCTCTGGTATTCAACCCATACTACAAAGCAGGCCATGCAATGCATGGGTGTGAGGAAAAAAAAGAAAAGGGGTTCAACCCATACTAGAAAGAAGGCCATGTGATGCATGGGTATGAGGAGGAAAAAAGAGAAGAGGGAGGGGGCGGGGGGGGGGGGGGGTCACAGAGAGAGAGAGAGAGAAAGATGAATTTCCTTCCGAAGGGTAGTAAGAAATATAAAAAGGTCTGTTTGCTTCATTGTTTTTCCTTACAATGGAGAGAGAAAATATTTCCAACATTTTATTGACAATGTTTAGAAAAACCAACAACCTACACTTTTCTTTGGTTGGTCAAACATGGGATGGGTTATGGGATGGGTTAACTCCGACCAACCACGCGCATACCCAATTCCCAACAACCTGCTCCATTGAACTTTCCAAAACTTCAAATATTTCTTAATATATGGAAATTACTGAGGGTATTTTAGGAGCATAATTTGACACAGTTGTTGGAAACGCCTGATATTCTGAATCATTTCAGGTATCGTGGAATCGCGGCTAACTAAAAGCTTCCTATTTTTGGAATTGACATCTGTATAAGGGGAATTATGGGAAACAAATAGGAATCGAGATTCAACCCAAATAGAATCCCCTAAATATATAGAATCAAGATTCCGACCTCTTTGGAATCAAGCTTCTAACCTATTTGAATATGTCCCATATCAAATCGATATTCCTTCATATATGGAATTGAGATGCCGACGTCTTTGGAATCGAGTTTTTAACGTATTTAGAATTGAGATTCAATACCCGTTTGGAATCGGGTTTCGACTAATATAAGACAACATGTGTATTATTTTTTAATCTCTTATTAAATTTGATGGATGTATTTTAGGAATTTTTATGGGTTACTTTTAGGGTTTTAATATTTTTTAGGGATTCTAGGATTTTTTTTTATTTTTTAGGATATTTTATATTTTTATCTTATGGCAATACTTGTTTTAGCAGGAATAAAAGTGTCATTACAATTTTTATTTCATGTCAAGGGACTTATGGGGTATTTTTATAATGTTTTAACTGACGCGACGGTAACTTTGGTCTTTTTATTATAATATAATAAAAGGGCTTGAGGTGTTAAGGTTTCTAACAGTTTTGGGGCATGAACAGTAAAAACACGTTGTGAAAAGTAACAGTAAGCCCTATCTAGGGTTTCGGGTCACTTTTTGTGCAAGGACACCCAAATCCACTCTTTGGCCCGTTTTGATGAAGTTTTGAACTATTCTTGTCTATTTTCTCTATTTTCCTGCATCAAAATGGCATCAAACCCTAGGTCTTCTTCAACAACAAAGCTAAAAATCTACAACAAGTCGAAGGTGTGTTGATGTTAGGCCAACTTTCGCAAAATTAGCCTAGAACTTGCAGGTTTCAGCTAGGTTTTGTTGGTTCTTTGCCTAGATTTTGTGATTGTGGTGAACATATGGTTGCAAGAAGAGGTCAAGGCAATGGTATTCATATGGATCGACCTCGCGATAAGCGGGATTAGGAGATAGAGGATTTGAGTCAACAAGTTCAAGAACATACAAAGCGGCTTGCAGGCATTGATCAACGGCGAGATGAAGTTTTGTCCATCCAACATGATGTTGAGTATAATCGTGCTCCGTAGGATGAGTCGAGTGAAGAAGAATATGATTGGATGTATAGGCAGCATTCAAAACCCATAGATCTAAAAGTAGATATTCCTGATTTTGAAGGAAAGTAGCAACCCAAACGACCTTATGTACTGCTTAAACACAGTAGAGAAGGCCTTTGAGTACAATTTACAAGGATGTGCCAAAGAATAAAAAGGTTAAAAATTTGCCATTAAATTGAAGAAAAATGCTTCGGCATGGTGGGAACAGTTGAGAGAAAGGTGAGAAAAATGGGAAAGCCCAAAATTAACACTTGGGAGAAGATGAAAAGAAAATTAAAAGGAAAATTTATTTACAGTTTTTATATCAGAAGATGCATGTGTTGCGCTAAGGAGATAGGTCAGGAGATAGTTTCACCTTTTGACTGCTCGTAGTGATGTGATCGAGCGGGAGGAGCACTCCATTGACAGGTATGTGAATGGACTGCGTCAATCAATTCAATATGTGGTAGTTTTGCAGCAATAGTGGACCCCAACTCAACAGAAATGACCCTCAAACAGGTGGGGTGCTGGTGCGAGTGCAAGTGTGAGTGATGGGGAAATAGGACAGCAGCCCACGGTGGTGATTTTGAAAGAAAAGGCAGCATGATTGGTGTGGGTTCAACATCTGGCACTGCTAGAACGTCCAACCAGTAAGGCGCCCTGGACCAAAAAGGGGTTATTTTGGGAGTTGGGCAACCAGAGAGGGGTACTGGAAGCAACATCAAATGGTACAAGTGATCGAGAATCGGGCATGTCCCATCACATTGTCCAAATCACAAGCTCATTAACCTTTCTAAGGAGTTTTATGAGAAGGAAAGCAAGCATTCCTTTCAAGGAAATCCCATCTACGATTAGCCGGTTGATGAAGAGGACCCGGAAGTGACCTATAATGATCATGGGGAGGTATCGGTGATCTGGCGCAGCATGATTACACCCCAAGTAACAGATAGGTTAAACCCAAAGAATTTCTCATTAATTTACTTCCAAAATCAGCAAGGCATTGATTGGGACTCTCCAATGGTCATGAGTATTCAGATGAAGAAGGTAGTGATCCAATTTTTTATCAAGAACCACGTGAAAACAAGGAAGGTGACAATGGTCAAGATGAAGATGAAGAAGCTTTCGAAGAGGAAGTTGGTGATTCGATTAGAGATCTAGGGATTGGAGATGATCATCTTGAATATGCTCCCTTGGACTGTTCTAGGGTTGAACCAAGGCAATTTTAGCAAGGTTTAATGATTGTATTGATGCAATGTTGGCTAGTTAACGTGACTAAACTGGATGTACACATCACGGTTATTCCATCAACATATAATGACCTTAAGGGGTTCTCAAAAGTGGCTATGAAACTATGAATTGATTGCAAAAACTCAGTGTCAGTGCACAACAGTTGTGTCTTAGTTAGTCCAATTACTCGCAAGTCCCATGATAGTGTTTTCAATGTTCGGGTTGAAGGTGCTTGCAGGACTAATGCAAAATTCATCATAGCTTATTCAACACTCGATGACAAGTTTTCTCCAACTAGGGGAGAATGATGTAAAACAAGATGTTTCTTATTTTTGCATTTTTCTTATTAAATTTTAAGGATGTATTTTGAGAATTTTCTAGGGTTATTTTTTAGGGGTTTTAAGTTCAATTAGGGATTCTAGGATTTTTTATATTTTTTTAGGATTTTAGGAGATGTTTAAAAAGTAAATACTTACAAATTTACTTGTTTTATTAGGGATAAAAGTGTCATTACGAATTCTATTTTAAGTGACGGGACTTATGGGGTAATTTTATAATGTTTTAATTTAAGTGGGGGGTAGTTTTGGTATTTTTTATTATAATGTAATAAAAGGGCCTGGGACATTAGGGTTTCTAATATTTTTTGGGGGGGAATAGTAAAAACAGTATGTGAATAGTAACAACAAGCGCTATCTAGGGTTTTGAGGTCACTTTTTGTGCAAGAAAAGCCAAATCCACTCAAATCTGGCCCGTTTGATGGGTTTTTTGGACAGTTTTTGCCTATTTTCTCTATTTTCCTGCATCATCGATCTACCTGACAAGTGAGATTTATAACTCTATGGGGTTGAGTTTCGACCCCCTTGGAATCAAGATTCCTACATCAATGACATCTCACACCTTAACAACTTAAAACCTCATCAAGCAATTGAGAACAGAGGTCTCTAAGACCTGAAGAAGGGCTCCTAATATTAGAAGTCAATGTATTGGCTATTGAGCCTTAGACACAATATCAGAAATAAGGTCAATTAATAGACACCCGTAGTCCACTAGGGGAAATTGTCTATAAAAGATATATATTATGTCATGTTTTTCTAAAATGTGATTTTGATTTCATATTATAGTGCAAAATGGGATTTTGTTTGCGCCATGGTGTTGACTATGATATAGTATGTGCCTTTGATACTTGAGATGAAGATGTGGAGTATTCAATTTTTAATATTGCAAGGCCCAAGTTCTCTTAATTTTAACGCTCCAAACGCCCAAGTTTTTTTTTTTGATAACAAAGTTGTACTTGCCTTTGTTACTTGCAAAAGAAGTTATACATTCCTTTGTTACCTGCAAAAAACATTGGAATGATACTTGTTAAGATCTTAACTCCAGACATTTACATTTCAAAGTTGATTTAAGGAACCAATACTTCGACAATGTGTGCATTGGATTTTCACTTGAAGCAACTATGAACTATGGATACAATCGTCTCCATACTGGCTTCCAAATAATTTAAATCAAAATCCATAACTATATGAACCAACTAATAAGTCACAGATTTGTGCATCTCAGTATTTGATTTTGTGGTATTACGATTCCAAAAGAATCAGATTGAGATTCTATGAGGGTGGAAGCAAGACTTGATGTATAATTTGTGGTTTCTTGCATCTACAAACTGCAGTAATTG